CTTACAAATGAGGACAATTAAAGCAGTCAAAACTAACAAAAGAGCAACAATATATAAGTGCAAATGACAAGCCACGCAGTACACGCACGTAGCAATTTTTTTTTTATTATTGAAACTTTTTTATTACTGTTATTAAAAATATTTTATTATTATTTTAATTATACAAATTTAAATTAATAATTATATTACAATTGCCTTAAAATTATGCACTAAAAGGGGTATTTATTAATAATATTAATAATAAAACACAATAATAATGACAAATTGTTATTAAAATTATTTTTATTAATATTTGAATCATAAAACTAAATAAAACAAAAATATTGCAATTGTTGTAAAACTATTTGTGCTATTAAATAAAATTAGTATTTAATAATAATAACAATAATAATAATATTACTGTTATTCAAAATATTTTATTTTATTATGTTAATTATACAAATTAAAATCAATAAAGCAATATATCACAATTAAATTATTTACAATTACATATTATTATTATTATTATTAATGACCGTTTATTATTATTAAATAATTATTGCAAGCAATTGCAATAATACTACTTGTAAACTTAAATAACATTAGTATTTAATTGAATTAATCATATTAAAAATAATTCATTTTATTTTACAAAAACAAAATTACAATATTAATTTGTTTGTTTTCAAACATTAAACTATGACAATAAAGATAAAGATTAAATCTTGAATCTATTGAGCTATTATTTTGGTCAGAAACCGCAGGGAGAGATTAAAGCTTCTCTTTGGTTAATAACAGATTTATAAAGGATTTTCAGTACAAATTTGGGAAGATAAATGACGAGTGCTGCATTTTCAAATGGACGTTATAAGCAACCCAAACTCATAGCACTTGCAGAGGTGGAGTTAGTATGGCTCAGCATTTACTGAAACACATTTTAAACGTATTTGAAAACTATTTATACTATTTTATAACAGTGTCGTATTTTCCCTCTGATTTACACATTCCTGCTGGCTGCAGGTTTAATCTAGTTTCTGTGATCGCTCGCAGGTCTACAGCTCTTCTACTAATATCAAGACCACATCTGTATGCTCACCCTGTCAAGCATGCGGTTCAGCAGACGAGGAACCACAGGGAATACGGTGGGCTTCAGGGTCGTGAGGTCATCCATCAGAATTCGAATGTCACCCTGGAAGTATCCGATACGTGCGCCGTGCATCAGAATCACACCCAAATAAAATAATATTAAAATATTAATTAAATTTAACAGATTATTTAACAGATCATTAAAGTAAAATGTGGCCCTGGAGCACAAAACCAGTCTTAAGTCGCTGGGGTATATTTGTAGCAATAGCCAACAATACATTGTATGGGTCAAAATTATCGATTTTTATTTTATGCCAAAAATCATTAGGATATAAATTAAAGATCATGCTCCATGAAGATATTTTGTACATTTCCTACCGCAAATATATCAAAACTTAATTTTTGATTAGTAATATGCATTGCTAAGAACTTCATTTGGACAACTTTAAAGGTGATTTTCTCAATATTTAGATTTTTTGCTCCCTCATATTCCAGATTTTCAAATAGTTGTATCTTCAGCTTTCAGATAATGTTTAAATCTCAATTTCAAAAAATTGACCCTTATGACTGGTTTTGTGGTCCAGGCTCACAAATATGACTTTTTCCAATAATAAACCAAATATGCACAACAGAATCTTTCTAGTTAGACACTTAGCTGATGCTTTTATCCTAAATATCTGTAATACAGTAACATATTACAGGTCCAGCCCCCTGGAGGATCATTTCTTACAAATAAATGACTGAATTTAATAACAAAATAAATTACTGAATTCGTTTATAAAATTAAAATGCAAAATAATAATAATTTTAACAAATATTACACAATATAAATAATATAGTGTTTCTTGTCATTAAAGTTATGAGAACTGGGGATAAAATATGCTTAACTCATGAAAATAAGTTCCTAAAAAGTTTTTAGCCAAAAGGTGATTAAAAAAAAAAGTACAAATTTGCATTCTGCTTGAGAAATGTATTAGAAGTTGTGCTATTATTTGAGAATGTATTTACCTTTGTGACGTAGATGAAGGCAGAAACATTAGACGCTATGTTTCTGTGGGTGAGCATCGCTCCTTTAGGGTTTCCTTGTGAGAAACCAAACGAGAAAACGTTGTGTCCATCATTACACTCAATTCACATGTGGCCTGAAATTCTTCTTGATTCTTCTTGAAATTTTCAAACTGATATTAAAATCAAGAATTTGGAGTGCTAGAAGAGACATTTACAGTTCTGCATTGGTCAGACACTTTTATCCAAAGGACATTACATTGCATTGAAGCCAAATGTACATTGATATCAATTCATGTATTTTCTGGGAATTGTACCCATGGATCTTAGTGTTGCTAGTGCATCATACCTGTGGTTCCACTTGTAAAACAAATAATAGCCAAGTCATCAGGCTGAGGGGGCTGCAAATACAGGAGGAGTTAAATACATATTGAGAATTTTAAAGAAATAATAAATGCACAGAAAAGTAGCATCCAGACTTTTTCCAGAAACAAACCTTTTATAATTATAAAATATACACTGGCAAACTGAAAAAGAAACTACAGTACTAACCACAGGATGCTGTCGATGAGCCTTGCCGATATTCTGCGAAGGAAGGGAAACTTATTTAAAGAAATGATGGAGACAGAGGAAGCTCAGTGAAAGAGGAAGAAACTGCAGGCGTGAATGAGGTTTGTGTTTGTGACTGACAGCAATCAAACACAAGCACAGCCAATATAAACCTTCATCTCGCTCAGGAAATAAAAAGTCAAGTGGCAGATCAAACTTAGAAAGTTAAAGTGTAAATAAGGATTTCCCAAACTGAAGTTCACAAGATGATGAAATGGTAATTAAATAATACAAATGTAAAATAAAATATAGAATTTATAAATAATTTAATTTTAAAAAACTAATAATTTTAAAACAAATATAAAAACACTTAATAAGCAACTTACATTATGAAAATGTAGTATTAAAATAAATACGTAATATTAAACTAAAACATGACAAAAAATTGTATCATAATGTCAAAATAATAAAATAAATCTATTAAAATAAATGACAAATGTAATCATAAAATATTATATAAAATATTTAAATAAATAATACAAAAAAAACACTTATTTATGAAATAACTAAATAATGAAAAAATAATAAAATTTAAATAAACTTAAATAAAAAAATGTAATATTAAAATAAATACACAATATTAAATTAAAATAGACTTAATTTAAATAAAAAAAATGTTACAATGAAAAACAAAAGAAAAATACAAATACAAATTAAAACAAATACAACTACAAAAATATCATCAAAATTATATTTAATATAAATATAAAATGTAATATTGAAATAAATAATATTAAAATAAAACAAAACGTGAACAACATAATTAAATCATAAAATGTAATATTGAAAAATACATATTAAAATAAAAACAAATCATATTAAAACACTTAAAAAAAACACACTAAAATTAAATAGTTTATTTCTTTATCTGCATGTCATGTGACCAATAACAGTCATCACAGAAAAGTGAACATGCAAATAGGTTTTTAAATTAGTGAAATATAACAAATATTTTTTGAAAAATATTTATTTGAAATCTTTTTTTTTTTTTTTTATGGTACTCTATGGTATTCTTTTACATAAATACTATTGTACATGAATATGATATAGAATATGATATAGTTCATCCAATTCCATAACTGTAACATGGTACTAAGTTAGTAGGCTTGAAGGACGTTCTATAAATAGCAGCTGAAGTGTCAGTGAGCTCTGAGGGCAAGCGGTCAGTAATGCAGGTCACCCAGTTACCACAGCTGATCCGCGATCCGGGTCACAGCAAGACAAACACACCCCACCAGACGCAAACACACGCATCGATCGCATTCACTGGGGTTAAGCAAAGATTTGAGCAGACAAGCTGCGGTTTATTCACCTCTGCGTCTCTCAGACTGATGATGTCGATGCCGCACTGCTGTGCTCTGCTAACCAAATCAGTGTCAAAGTTTTCCATGAGGATCAGGGTTTTGACTGAGTGCTGCCGGCCCGAAACACAGTCCAACAGCAGCTTGGCCTTCTCAGGGACGTCACATACGACTGTAGAGATACCGGCTGCAAAACACACACAAATGCATGTAGTAAAACAGACAAACAATCATAAAAAATAAACAAATACATTCATTCTCTTGATCTTGATGCTGAATACTTCAAGTTAGGAATCTCTAACCCTAATAATGACCTAGCAAACACCAATAAAAAGACAACAGATGGATCTTGTATGACACATCTGCATGCATACTAAAATCAATGAGTAATCAATAACAAACTTAATGTAAACACACTATTTCAATATAAAACTGCATAAAAATCTGACATACTTTTGTCGAGGATGTAGCTTATCGCTTCTGTGCCCAAGGTGTCATACAGAGGAACGGATATCAGAGAGTATGTGTAGCAGGCCAGCTCTGAAATCGTCCACTGGATAAAGATTTCTGACATTAGTGATCAAATATTTGCAATCTCAAGCGTTAGAAGATGAACTGCACATTTGTTCATTGTAACCTGTTGGTCACACATTTAGAGTCCCAAACAGAGCAAAAACTCAAGACAGGAGATTTTAAAGTTATCATTCCAATTTAAATTGAAATTAAAGATTCATTTTATCTTTTAAAGGTGAAGTGTATATTATCTAATTGCAAATAATGCTTTCTAACGTTTTTTTTATTTTTTTATCTGCGATTGGTTATACAAAGACTATATTAAAGAAAAATTAATATAGAAAAAAAAAACTGATTTGGAGAAATGTAGCATTACATCACTTGCTCAAAAACAGATCCTCTGCAGTGAAAAACACTTTCAGTGGGTGCCATCACAATGAGAGTCCAAACAGCTGATAAAAACAAATCCATCATTTATCCATTTTTAACTTCAAACTGTTGCTTCCGGACAAATATAAGTCCATAATCCATGATAAAGTTTCCTTCAGTGAAAAGGACAGTCCCCTGTTGTCTTCTGTTCTATGCATATTTCTCTCTTGATTCAGACAAGACTTTCTTTACTGGAGAAAGCAATATTATTTATAGAGGACTTATATTTTTGCCTGAAGCAATGGTTTGGTATTAAAAAATGATGGATTTGTTTCTCAAATACATTCAGCTTTTCCCTTCCCGAGACGTTAGTTAATGAACTGGAGTGGTGTGGATTATTGTGATGTTTTTATCAGCTGTTTGGACTCTCATTCTGACGGCACCCATTCACTGCAGAGGATCCATTGGAGAGTGAGTGATGTAATGCTACATTTCTCCAAATTCAGTTAAGAAATTTTCTGCACATTTCCAATTTTGGGTGAACTATTCCTTTAAGATGAATTGCATCATTAATTTAAACCAGGTTAAAATCTAAACACAAGTGTAAAGATGCATTTGGGCAATAAATCACATATTTATTAGCTCTGACCTCTGGTCTGTTCTGAGAGAAGATGCCGATGTAGGGGTCTCCATCCTTCGAGTGTCCTTTGTGCAAAAACGCTGATCCCAAATTCTCTGCTCGCTCAATCACCTGATGAAGAGGAAATGACAAATAACTTAACCAAACCAGAAAACGACTTACGCAGTTCACTGTGCACAAGAAGGGTGGAGAAATTAAGAAAAGATCCATATCATCCACCATAAACTTATTTCTCTAAATAGTTTAAATTCAATTCCAATTCAAAGAACTTCATTTTTCCATTTGGAACGTAATATGTTAAAGATTATCAGTGCATGCATTCAGTATCATGTGCAATCTATGTAGCTTATTAACAAGACAACAACATAAGGAATGTAAATTTGACTGCTTCAGCAGTTAAACAAGTTCCCACACGCCCGTTTTACAGTTTGACCACCTGTGCAAGTGCGACCTTCACAACCACGCCAACAACCTACAAGAAACCTGCACTTAAGAGGTCTGAAATCCAAAACCAGCTTCTCCACAGTTGTGTGTCGGATGCTCTAATTACACATCACACAGATTAGGCATTTTGAAAGAACATAATGTCTCACTATATGAATTACTTCACAGTTTTTACAGCATGATAGATGTAAATTATGTAAAGTTTTTATGAAATGACCCAGTGCACCAGGTAACTTATTAACTTGAAAGCCAAGAGAACATTAAATGTGAGCTATAATAAGTCCCAAAGCTCAACAATAAAGACGGGCGGATGGCATGCACCAGTGTTGAGAGATGGGCCAGTTCTGCATTGTGACATTTTACATTTGTACGCTTATGTCTTAAAACACTTCTGTTTTCTGTGATGGATTTAACATTGTGAAATCTGCTGATTTAAATATCACCAAGGTAAAGTTATGAAGCATCAGTCCGAATGCTTTGAAAATGACAAACAATACACTGCACGCCATAATTTTTAGCAAAAGTATGTTTATGAATTTACTGCTGCTGAGTTGAATTGTAGATGCAAATTTCCAAATATTATTGCAAAATATGAATTTAATAAATTATCTGCATTCAAATTATTATTGATAACCTTATATTTATGAATTTACTGCTGCTGAGTTGAATTGTAGATGCAAATTTCCAAATATTATTGCAAAATATGAATTTAATAAATTATCTGCATTCAAATTATTATTGATAACCTTAAAGGGATAGTTCAGCCGAAAATGAAAATTGTGTCATTAATTACTCACCCTCATGTCGTTCCAAACCCATAAGACCTCCGTTCATCTTCGGAACACATTTTTGGATGAACTAACCCTTTAACATTTAATAGGAAATATAAAATAAATGTATTGCTTACATACAAAAATGTAAAAATAAAAGTTTTTTTATTTATATAGCACATTTAAAACAGACACAAGACTGACCAAAGTGCTTCACAGTAAAAATCTATCTTAGTGGCGAGGTTAGTGAAAATATCAGAAGACTTACATAATTACAAAAGCATGTATCAATTACAAAAAGCATGGATCAAAACAGAAACAGACATGGATGCAGAAGTGTCATCCTACCTCTGAGTACGAAAGCCATTCATACGGCTGCTTTGGTTTTCTTGATCCCAGACAGGGACCGTTTTCTGAAAGAAAATGTAAAGATATCACATAAAGGCCCATTTGATTTTTCAGTTTGTTGTTTTTATACAGAAAATATTCAACATCATGTGATATATTAATGCTGACCACTTAACCACAGGTTGACATAGCATTTCATTGCAAAATATAACTATATTATCACCAAATCTTTATATAAAGTTAGATATACAAGTATGTTCAACTTTATCATTTATTCATTGCTTCAAGGTTGAAATATAAGTGAAAAGTACATACTTGACTCCCTCAGACCCCTGTGAAAGCACTCGTACATGGTCTTGGCGTCCTCGTAGAAATGGCTCAAGAGCGGTCCTCCGTTTAAAACTGCCCCTCGACGAGCAAATTCTCCACCCTGATCGACAAAAAGCATATTTTATATTAAATCTCTGATTGCAGTAAGACAGGCTTTGAGTTCATGTTAATGTAGTATTGTCTTACCGGCAGCTCTACTGACTGCATGCGCAGGTCACAGGGCGCTTTGAGGGCTTTGGGTCTGGTGGCGACCCAGTATGCTGTGACGGCGGTGAACGCACCCATGCCAAGGAGAATGTTTGTGGAGAGGCTGCGGAAATAGTCCCTCACCTCAGACAGCTCAGGGATTCGCAGCTGCTTCAACAGCTCGTGTGCCTGCATGACTACAGCGAACTCAATCTGTGGAGGACAACAGGGGTTAAATTAGGCCCTACTGCGCTTATACCCTGGTACAGGGGAAAAAATACTTTGATATTACCATATTTATGTATCATGGAATGGCAAGAAACTTCAAAAGACAAAAAACTGATAAGCAGAGTTGACGGTATCTGTTCCTTGTTTGTTGTAGTGCTTGTTTTTGTGTTTTCAAAATTGAATACAAAATAGAAATAAATAAACAAATAAAAGTAATTAAGTAAGTGGTTTACCATGGTACATGTCCAAAAAAATGGTATTATTTGTGAAATCATTTTAAAGGAGAAATAAAATAAATACACACACATATATATATATATATATATGTATATTTATAATATTCCAAGGAACTTCAACAGATCAAAAGGTGGTATTACCAGGGTACAAAAAAAATCATGGTACTTCTAGAAAACACAAAAGGTTGTTTTTATTAAATTTTTTTGCATTGTGACATTATTTTCATGGCAAGCACATTTTTAATCCCAAATAAATTACCATAATGCAAAATTTCTAAAAGATCAAAAGAAATATGAGAAATGTGTTTGTGTCTGGCAGGCAACTTTCTTATTGTCCTTCAGTGATTCATAAAATCAGTCCTGTTAAATCTGTTTTTATTGGCACATTATTGACCTGTAAAATCCTGTCAAGTGTTTTGAAATATTGCGGAAAACCCTTTGATTAAATCTTAGCAATCAATTGGTTAATCAACATGAACTGTGACACATTATCTTTGCAGGGAAACAGTCAGTGCTGAACGATCAGATGTTCTGCAAGGTTATCTTCATCTGCTACACCTGTGATTCAGCTCACATCAAGCTTTGCTTTTACATAACAACAAACCTTCACAGCAATCAACACTCCTGTTATTAAACCTACATTTTACAAAACAGGTTTCTGGACAAAATTAACCCCAACAGCTAAAACTAGTGTTCGCTAGATATTTTGCATTGTGACATTATTTTCATGACTACTAAGCACATTTAAACTTGAAAGATAAATTTAAACACACTCTCTGTTTCTTATTAAACTATGCATTCAGTGAAATTTAGTTTAACAGATAATGGCATAGTGTATACTTACAAGTTACAACTGTACTTTTTAAAAATGTATTTTATAATTCACTTTTAATTTCACATTACATACAGTAACTGTCATAAAAGGGCAAAAAACTTTAACAATAACCTTAAAAATAACAATTTTTCTGCAATAAATATTGTAAATTTATAATATTACTAGAATACTTTTTACAAGAAAATACTTTCAGACTTTAAAATTTCACAGTTAATTCAATGCGTTACTTGCCGTTTGTTTGTAATTATTCCTAAGTGATTCCTTTGTAATTATTTCTCAGTAAAACTGTTTTAAAGTAAGTCCTGCAGTGCACTGATCATCAACATTTTTAGTTGAACAAAAGGAACGTTTTTTATTTGATTAGTTTATCAGAGGATCTGAACATTGAACAGGTCCAACTACACATTATAATCATATTCAAATTAACTATATAAACTACAGGTTTAATTTGCAACAAGCTAACTCTGTTAGCAGCAGCATTAGGGCCATGAGTCACCTTAGTCAGCTATGTGATTCATGTTAAACCTTGCGAGGACGCGTTACCCCTTTAACCTCTCACACACTTCTATTCTTACTGCCCCGGGGCAGATCATTCTGAGAAACTGCCTTCACTTAGTGAGTAAAAACAGACACAGCGTGAAGCCCTTGTAAACTCATCCATGACTGCATACAAACAACGCAGAGTTAAATCCTGTGGAGACTTGGAGCTAAAATACTACAAACCATTCAATATCCTCATTCTTTCAGAACAGCAAATACTAAATTCTCTGCATTCTGACAAAAGCAATTGTACTATAAAATAGTTTCTTCAACTTGGCTAGTACATGCCTTTGCATGAAAACCTGCCCTTCATCAAGGTTTTGACAGCAAAGTCTAACCATCTCAAATCACTTGGCAAGAACTCAACATGACCAACACACAACACACACACACACACTTCACCTGAGACTAGAAGAATAAGGTAGGTCCAAACGTGAGCGCCGATGTGCTTCCCACACCCACAGAATCACGCCAACAGGAAGGTGAAACGACCAGGTGAAGGTAAAAACAGTTCAGTCTGAACATCTACAGGTTGAGTTCATGTGCAACCGCGGGTCAGACCCCTGCCGACCCCTTCCTGCTCCTTATTGGACAGACACACACTCTTAGAACCTGCTGCGTCAGCCAATCACAGAACAGGAAGTCAAACAAGCAACGACCAATAGTTAAAGTCCTAAAAGTCACAACTGACTGATTGTTACTGTGTCAATACTCAACAAGAACTATATGCTGATTACATTATGTTGATATTCTGTGATAAAAACTGACTGACATGTTTTGTTTTTTCGTTTTTTTAATTAATACTTATACTTAGCAAGGATGCATTAAAATGATCAAAAGTGACACTAAAGACATTTATAATGTTACAAAGATTTCTACAGTCTATTCATCAAAAAAATCCTGAAAAAACAATGAATTATGATTTACACAAAAAATAGCAGCACAACTGTTTTCAACATTTAAAATAATTAGAAATGTTTCTTGAGCAGCAAATCAGCATATTAGATTGATTTCTGAAAGATCATGTGACACTGACTGAAGACTGCAGTAATGATGCTGAAAATTCAGCTTTGATCACAGGAATAAATTATATTTTGTATTCATTAGAAAACAGCTATTTTAAATTGTAATAATATTCCACAATATCACTGTATTTTTGATCAAATAAATGCAGCCTTAGTGAGTATAAGAGACTTCTTTCAAACATTACAAATATTTGACCTGAAACTTTTGAAGAAAATTGAATGCCAATAAATCGCAAAATTTCTAAATATCAGCCAAGTTGATATATCTGTCAATAGCATCACACTTCTGTTCATTTATTAAAGATCTCCTTATTATCTCACTGTGTTTGGTGTCGACCCGTCATGAGGACCTGATAAACAGAAACACTGTGATAAACATCATTCCACTGGTGTACAAACTTTCCAGGGCAAAGGTAACATGACCACAGCCACGTCCTTTAAACTCTTCCTGTGACGGGCGGGGGGTGAATGAGACCAATGACAGACCCTCAGGCCGAACAGAATTCTCACTACTGTAATATACCTCTTTTTGGGTCCCATTGTTTTTTTTATTGGTGATTCATTATAAAATAGATATTAATATTTACTTAACATACATTTTCTCAGCATAAAGGCATGACAGCATATAATACTACCATTACATAATCTTCTGATAAAAAGTCTGGGGTTGTTAAGATTTTTTTATGTTTTTGAAAGAAGTCTCTTCTGCGTATCAAGGCTGCATTTATTTGATCAAAAATACAGTAAAAACAGCAATACTGCGAAATATTATTACAATTTAAAACTGTTTTCTATGTGAATATATAGTAAAATGTATAAAATTTTTTCTGTGATGCAAAGCTGAATTTTCAGTATCATTACTCCAGTCTTCAGTGTCACATGATCCTTTAGAAATCATTCTAATATGCTCCCGATGGGCGCAGACACAACCCCCTCCCAGAGCAGGGAAAACAAATGGAAAACAGTGGCATGAAGTTGAGTGGAACAGATCCAGATATATTAAAGTATAATATTGACAACAGTTGTGCTGCTTAATTTTGTGGAAATAAATAATACCATATTTTATTTCAGGATTCTTTGATGAATATAAAGTTCAAAGGAACAACATTTATTTAAAACAGAAATCTTCTATAACATTATAAATGTCTTTATGCACTTTTCAAAAAAAAAAAAAAACTTTAAGAATGAAACCATAAAAAATGGCCCTAAATGCAAAGCACAATTTCTTAGGCTTTATGGTGAATTATGACCCAGACACATTCTTGAGAGGTTTCGTGAGATTCCCTTCTCTACTATTCACTCTAGATCGATCCATTCAGGCATTCATAAGGAATGTTTACATAGCTTCAAAACCCACACAACAGACAAGATTGCATCACACTGCCTGTCAAACACTCAGTGACAAGTTCCAATGAGACTGAGCTAACAGAAATGAATCAGGAGGTGCTTACCTCAGCAATGACCGTCAATAAATAAATATAGATCCAGATATATTAAAGGCATGCGATTTATGACGAGCGGACATATGACATCCGCATTAGGCTCAAGAACAAGACAGTTTTCCACTGATTTGAGGTGTAAGCTTTAGTGCAATGTGAATTAAGTCAATTCAAAATCAAAAGTCAAAATCAAAACTTATATATATATATATATATA